CTGGTCCACTCTCTCCCGGCTCCAATAACTTCATCGTACCTCTTCTTAAAGCTGTGTATGGATCCCGCCTCTAATCACTCTTCAAATTGTTCCAATTCCTGACAACCCTAAGGCTGAAGAAATGCTACATGATATCCCTAAAACTCATATGAGTTTTCAACTCACATCTCTGAAACTTTCTGTTCCTGTTCACCTTGTCAATTCCTCTCCGTATTTTGTACGTAGTTATCATATCCTCCCCAGCCCTCCTGTCCTCCAGTGTCATCAGGCTTAGTTCCCTTAACCTCTCTTCATAGGACATATCCCTTAACTCCGGGACTAATCTTGTTACAAATCTCTGTTGGCAATGTGTGGGTTTCATAATGGTGCTGTATACTCCAATAAGGGTCTGATGTACACGGTATACAGTCTCGTGAATGACTCCTTACTGAGATGTCCAAACGCTAGCCTTTTATTTGCCAGACGCGCATATACTGCGGCAGTTATTTGGTTGATGTGCATCTCAGGGGATGTGCTCGCTATGATACCCCAAGATCGTTCTCCTTGCGTGAGGTTTGCAGCCTTTGCCGCCCCCCCCCCAGCCTGCACTCTTGTCTACGGTCATCTTTGTCCTTCCCCAAGCTTCATAACTTTGCGCTTGGTGGGGCTAAACGCCAGGAGCCATTTGCCGGACCAAGCTTGTAGCCTGTTCAGATCCCTTTGCAGCCTTTAATGGTCGTCGTCCGTTATATTCTCCTAATTAGTTTCACGACGTCTGCGACAGAGACACTTCTGACTCAACTAGGGGTAAATTTACTCCTTGGGGGTAAAAAAATTACCTGGCAAAGGGTAAATATGTGTGTGCTATTTTTTTTTTTTTTTTTTTTTTTTTGCAAAACCTGGATAATTTATTTTTTCTGACCTTGTTTTTCTGTCCCTTTATGATGGCGATAAATTATTTGTATGGAAGTGGGTAAATGAAGGAATACATCAAGCCGAGGGGTTAAATGATGGAGGAAACGTTGAGAATATCTGCTGCTTGTCATGTCATTCACGTATACAAGGATGAACACCGGCCCTAGGACTGACCCTTGTGGAACCCCACTAGATACCTGCACCCATTCCGACACCTAGTCACGTACCATCACTGGTTGTTTCATTCCTGTCAGGTAATCCCTGATCCATTGTAGTGCTTTTCATGTTATTCCTGCCTGCTCCTTGTGTGTGTTAGTTACCTTTCTGTCCTAGGCACATGTCAATTAGACACTACGCCTGTTGTATATGCATGCGTGCAAGCGTGCGTGCGTGTGTGTGTGTGTGAGAGAGAGAGAGAGAGAGAGAGAGAGAGAGAGAGAGAGAGAGAGTTACCATACTATCCTAGGCACATGTCGATTAGACACTATGCCTGTTGTATATGTGTGCGTGCGTGCGTGCGTGCGTGCGTGCGTGCGGGGGGGAGGAGGAATTCAGGGAAACCGGAAACAAGTCCTGGAAGTGGTTAAGTGCTTGCACTATGAGGGAAGGCTGGAGATGCTGCAATTGGAGGGTAACTGAATTGTGACATCGATACTGGCAAGACAGTGATTGAATGAATGATGGCGAATGTTTCCTTTTTTTGTGGGGAGGAAGGAGGTCGAAGAGGTAATTTATCTATGATTTAAATGTGTGTGTGTGTGTGTGTTGTGTGTGTGTGTATGTGTGTATGTGTTCACTGTTGCACAATGGGTGATGGAACAAGTCAAGGCTCTATATGTAAGTGTGACAGTGAGGTACCCCAACGTTCAACACTACAGCAATACTTCCTGATAATGTCTTACAACACCTGATAAATCGTTCTCCTCTTAATCTCCCTCTCTCTTCTCCTCTCTTTTTCTTTTACATAATCACTACTAATACCCATTTAGTAAACTCTCCATTCTTGTGCATTCACCTTCTCATTCTCCCCTCTCTTTTCTTCCTTCATTTTCGTAAGTTTATCCTTTCTGTCGTCGCTGTTGACTAAAAAAAATTTATTTTGTATTTGTACGTCATCACACGACAGCAAAAAAAAAAATAATGGTGTAGTTTTGCAAGCTAGTTAGGAAGGCATGAGGAAGTTCTGGAGCTTTCCAGCCTGTGTGCATAGTGGGTTAGTGTCCTGGGTAGGTTGTTGTGTCTGTGAGCACAGTATCTGCTGTTTTGGGTAGGTTGTCGTGTCTGTGAGCACGGTATCTGCTGTTTTGGGTAGGTTGTCGTGTCTGTGAGCACAGTATCTGCTGTTTTGGGTAGGTTGTCGTGTCTGTGAGCACAGTATCTGCTGTTTTGGGTAGGTTGTCGTGTCTGTGAGCACAGTATCTGCTGTTTTGGGTAGGTTGTCGTGTCTGTGAGCACGGTATCTGCTGTTTTGGGTAGGTTGTCGTGTCTGTAAAAAGGGTATCTACTGTCCTGAATAGGTTGTCGTGTCTGTGAGCGTCGCTCCTACCGTCCTGGATAGGTTACCCTGCCTGTGGTCACTGGACATGTCTTTCTAGTCAAAGTTGCAGTTCTCGGTACGTTGTCCTGCCTGTTGTCACAAGACCTGGTGTACCAGGTAGGTTGTCCTGCCTGTTGTCACAAGACTTGGTGTACCAGGTAGGTTGTCCTGCCTGTTGTCACAAGACCTGGTGTACCAGGTAGGTTGTCCTGCCTGTTGTCACAAGACCTGGTGTACCAGGTAGGTTGTCCTGCCTGTTGTCACAAGACCTGTTGTACCAGGTAGGTTGTCCTGCCTGTCACAAGACCTGGTGTACCAGGTAGGTTGTCCTGCCTGTTGTCACAAGACCTGGTGTACCAGGTAGGTTGTCCTGCCTGTTGTCACAAGACCTGGTGTACCAGGTAGGTTGTCCTGCCTGTAGTCACAAGACCTGGTGTACCAGGTAGGTTGTCCTGCCTGTTGTCACAAGACCTGGTGCACCAGGTAGGTTGTCCTGCCTGTAGTCACAAGACCTGGTGTACTAGGTAGGTTGTCCTGCCTGTTGTCACAAGACCTGGTGTACCAGGTAGGTTGTCCTGCCTGTAGTCACAAGACCTGGTGTACCAGGTTGGTTGTCCTGCCTGTAGTCACAAGATCTGGTGTACCAGGATGGTTGTCCTGCCTGTGGTCACAAGACCTGGTGTACCAGGTAGGTTGTCCTGCCTGTAGTCATAACACCTGGTGTACCAGGTTGGTTGTCCTGCCTGTGGTCACAAGACCTGGTGTACCAGGTAGGTTGTCCTGCCTGTAGTCACAAGACCTGGTGTACCAATTTGGTTGTCCTGCCTGTGGTCACAAGACCTGGTGTACCAGGTAGGTTGTCCTGCCTGTAGTAATAAGACCTGGTGTACCAGGTTGGTTGTCCTGCCTGTGGTCACAAGACCTGGTGTACCAGGTAGGTTGTCCTGCCTGTAGTCATAAGACCTGGTGTACCAGGTTGGTTGTCCTGCCTGTGGTCACAAGACCTGGTGTACCAGGTAGGTTGTCCTGCCTGTAGTCACAAGATCTGGTATACCAGGTAGGTTATCCTGCCTGTAGTCACAAGATCTGGTGTACCAGGTAGGTTGTCCTGCCTGTAGTCAAAAGACCTGGTGTACCAGGTAGGTTGTCCTGTCTGTAGTCACAAGACCTTGTGTACCAGGTAGATTGTCCTGCTTGTGGTCACAATACCTGGTGTACCAGACAGGTTGTCTTGTCTGTGGTCACAAAACCTGGTGTACCAGGTAGGTTGTCCTGCCTGTGGTCACAAAACCTGGTGTACCAGGTAGGTTGTCTTGTCTGTGGTCACAAGACCTGGTGTACCAGGTAGGTTGTCTTGCCTGTGGTCACAAGACCTGGTGTACCAGACAGGTTATCCTGCCTGTGGTCACAAGACTTGGTGTCCCAGACAGGTTGTCCTGGCTATTGTTCTTGGCAAGTTGTTCTACGTGGGGGTACAGGATCTGCTGTCTTATGCAGTCTTCCTAGGAGTGCTACATCTGTTGCCCTGGAAAGATTGTATACTGGTGTGAGTAAAGGACCTACTGATCTGGATTGCACTAGTGTGAGTGAAGGACCTTTGACCTGGATTGTACTGATGTGGGTGAAGGACCTGTTGACTTGGATTGTACTTTTGTGAGTGAAGGATCTTTGACCTGGATTGTACTGGTGTGAGTGAAGGAATTGTTGACCTGGATTGTACTGGTGTGAGCGGAGAACTTGTTGAACTGGTAAGATTTTACTGATGTGAGTGAAGGAACTGTTGACCTGGAAAGATGGTATTGGAGTGAAAGACCTGTTGACCTGGAAAGATTGTATTGGTGTGAAGGACTTGCTGACCTGGAATATCTGTACTGATGTGAGGGAAGGACTTGTTGTCTAAAAATATTGTACTGTTGTGAAGGACCTGTTGATCTGGAAAGATTGTACTAGAGTGAAAGACCTGCTGACATGGAAAGATTGTAGTGAATTACCTGCTGACCTGGAAAGCTTGTAGAGTGAAGGACGTGTTGACCTGGCAACATTGTATTGGGGTGAAGGACCTGTTGTAGAGTGAATTACCTGCTGACCTGGAAAAATTGTAGAGTGAAGGACGTGTTAACCTGGAAAGATTGTATTGGAGTGAAGGACCTGTTGACCTGGAAAAATTGTACAGGAGTGAAGGACCTGTTGACTTAGAAAGATTGTACTGGAGTGAAGAACCTACTGACCACAGAAGGATGTACCATCTGTCAAAGAAAGATAATTCATCCTGCAGGAGCAGGATGAGTTCTCCAAGGAAGTGTCCTGGCGCAGGAGGTAGGACCTGTTTTGCTGGACCACCTGTGAACCAACTGTTGGCCGGGGTTCCTGGCATTGCAGGAGGGGGGCGGAGCTTGCTGTGTCCCGCCTCTCATCCCGCCTCCACCCCCCACGCTCCTCTCGCCAAAATTTTGGGAGTTTTGACTTCTTGGAGTGTTATTTTGGTGATGACCTACTTATGAGGTCAAAAAGGGTTAAATAAGAGGTTAGTTTAGGGGTCAAAACTGGTATAGCGTCCTCGACCCTTGCGGGAGGTGAAAGTGACCAGGTTGTGGAGGTGCGCGGCGCCCAACACAACCACCTGCGCATGCGCTGTTTCCAGGTATATAAGTAAAGGTAGCTGTTGGTCGGGGACCTCAGGAGTGCACCATGATACGTCGAGTTACTACGCCGCTTCTCGCCCTCCGTGAGTGACAACTTCTGCCTTGTTAATTTTATAAAAGCGTCCTACTTGCGGCACAGTTTAGGGTGGACCTACGGTGTAAGATAAGGATACGGTGAACGTTGTGCTGGGTGTTACAGTATGTAGTGTACCCTCCGGCTCCCTCACTCCCCGCCCGTCCTTACACCTCACACTGCTCTCAAAGTCAGTGTTTCACTCTCGCAATAAGCGTGACTTGAGCTTCCAGTGTCAATTCCTGAGAAAGTTTAAGCTCTGATGGTGCATGAGCCTTGCACACTAACTGTCCTTAAACCAGCAGTCGCAGCTTTGTCCTGAAAATTCCAACGGAGTTGGAATTTTAAGATTACATCTTTGTTACCAAAATTCCGTTGGAATTTTCTGCTGTGCATTCAGAATATCTCTGCTATGAGTGCCGTAACTTAGAGGCAGGTGTTGCTTATGCAACCCACACAGTGACATGTGGTAGCAGCAGTGAAAGTGTCTTTGTAGCGATGGGCGGGTGTGACAAAACCCTTGCACTCTCCCACCCTCACACTCTCCCACCCACCACACCCTCACACATGCTCCCACCCACCACACCCTCACACATGCTCCCAACCACCGCACCCTCACATTCTCCCACCTCCCACACCCTTGCAAATTCTCCCACCCGCCACACCTTCACACATACTCCCACCACCACATCCTCACATTCTCCCACCCGCTACACTTTCACATATACACCCACCCACCACATCCTCACACATTCTCCCACCCACTACACCTTCACACATACTCCCACCCATCACACCCTCGCACATTCTTCCACCCACCACACCTTCACACACACCTATTGCATCCTCACACTCTCCCACCGACCGGCTCTTCACACTCTCTCCCACCCACCGCACCCATCACGATCTCTCCCACCCACCGCACCCATCACGATCTCTCCCACCCACCGCACCCATCACGATCTCTCCACCCACCGCACTCTCACACATGCTCCCACCCAACACACCCACACATTCTCCCACCCCCCGCATCCCTCACACACTCCCACCCACCCACCCACCCTCACACACCTCCACACCTTACCCTACACACCCCACCCACCAAACCCCTCATACACTCCCATCCACCACACCCTCACACCTCCCACCCACCACACCCTCATACACACTCCACCCACCACACCCTCACACATACTCCCCACCCACCACACCTTCCACACACTTCCACCCTCCACACCCTGACACACACTCCAACTTACCACACCTGGACACATTCTCCTACCCAGCACACCCTCACAACACCCTCCCACCCACCACACCTTCACACACTCCCCCACCACACTCCTCACACATTCTACTACCCACTACACCCTCACACACATTTCTATCCACCACATCCTCACAAACACTCCCACCCACCAACCCTTATATACACTCCCACCACCACACCCGTACACACTCCCACCCACCACACCTTCACACACTCCCATCCCACACCTCATAAACTTCCATCCACCACACCCTCATATACACTTCCACCACGCCTTCACACACTCCCACTCACCACGCCTTCACACACTCCCACTCACCACGCCTTCACACACTCCCACCCACCCAGTCTTAGACAACATGTCGAAAAGAGGTAATACAATAGATGAAATTTAAATAAGATAATAAACATATATCACTTGAGACTTAGAAAAGAAAATAATTGTAATATAATAACTAATTTCTTTAGTTAGTCTAGTAACAAATAACCGCTGGTGGCGGAGTACAAATACGTAATGCCTGACAAGACCATCATTGCTGTTTTCAGTAAGCGCTAAAAACGTAGGAGTCACACAACACCTTGGGAATGGGAGACAATAGGTTTGATTCACTGAAGGGGAGAGTAGCTTCAAATTTTTGGGTGAGGAGCATTTCAGCATCACAGTATCTACCGTGAAGGAAACAAGATCAATGTGAAACATTTTCCTTCTACGACCCTAACAGACTCGCCTTGGTGCTGGTGAAGGTCTCTTGATCAAAGGAAATGGATGTACTCTCCTCGTCTTTCTATCAAACCTTATTACCTCCGATGTCGTGAATATAACAACAACAATTCTTCAGTCTTAACGGAGTTAATCAAGGTGTTTAATTCACATTAAGATTACATCTTTGTTACCATTAATGTACAGTAAGTCCTCACTTAACGTCATTTCTTCATAATGTTGATGAGAAAAAAATTGGATTCTCGGCCGGGGTGGCCACTGTCTGTGTGAAGTTTGCACGTTCGTTTTTGAACGGCGTGAGAGCAGGAGGGTTCCTTCAAATTTTCGCTTTGCAAACAACTCTGTTGCAATTAGTGTTAAAGGTTCACTATGCACTCCTGATGTTTATATCAATTAGCCTATGGTAAACTCAGTTTCGTTATACGTCGTTTCGCTTAAAGTCACAGTTTCCAAGAAACTATCGACGATGTTAAATGAGGACTTATTGTAGTTGAGAGCGCCCAGCCGTGTGTCCAACCTGTGCTGCATATGTCATCTTCCTGCTATCTGACACCCTATCTTCATTACTATACTTTAACTTCCTTAAATACTTTTTTTCTTTTGATTTTCAAAACTATAGAAAATCAAGAGTGCTTATTTTATTATATATAATAAATAAAAAAGGTCAGAACTTATTTTGAAAACTTCGAAAAACCGTAAACGCTCCAAACACTTCTACATTCAAGGTATGAGGTGTACAGCTCAGTGAAAGTTCACGCCAGGGTGCAGGTTATTTCCTTGGCACTCTGTACCTTGTTCCTTTTCGTATTACCTAGGGTAATTTTGTTCTTCCTCATTACCTAGGATAAAGTTGGCCTACCTTGCTCGTCCTTAAGTTACCTAGTGTAAAGTTGGTCTACCTTCGCTCGTTCTCATCTTACCTAGGGTAAAGCTGGCCTCCCTTGCTTCTCCTCTCGTTACCTAGGGTCAAACTGGTCTACTTTGCTCGTCCTCACGTTACCTAGGGTGAAGTTGGTCTACTTTGCTCGTCCTCACGTTACCTAGGATGAAGTTGGTCTACTTTGCTCGTCCTCACGTTACCTAGGATGAAGCTGGTCTACTTTGCTCGTCCTTACGTTACCTAGGACGAAGCTGGTCTACTTTGCTCGTCCTCACGTTACCTAGGATGAAGTTGGTCTACTTTGCTCGTCCTCACGTTACCTAGGATGAAGCTGGTCTACTTTGCTCGTCCTTACGTTACCTAGGATGAAGCTGGTCTACTTTGCTCGTCCTTACGTTACCTAGGGGGTGGGTAATTGTCTTATTCTAATTCATTTATCCTACATACAATAATATACTTTCAGAGATATTCAGAGTAGTATAGTGGAACCCACTGAGTAAAATAACTGGACATACAAAACAGAATTATAATATATGTTAAATAATAAAAATATGATAATAGGTCAAATACGATATATTAAGTATGTTAAATACGACAGGTTAAATATCATACAAAATATAGTAAAAAATTTAATGAATTATTTAGTGTGATAATAAACTAGTAAGTGGAATCTTCCGATGAGAGCTGAAAACATTGTTGCACTCTCTGGTCGTGATTATTTGAGGGCTTTATCATGTTAGCTGAGATGTACTAATACAACAGCTGAGTCTTGTCCTATAGCTAAGCGTTGCATGTACAATTACTGAGCCTAGCCGGTACATTAGTTGAGCTTTAGCAGTACGATAGCTTGCCCTTACCAGTACCACATTTTAGCCTCATCAGTTCGATAAGTGAAGCCCTTGGAAATAGTTTGTGAACCCCCTTACTGTGAAATCTGAACCCCCTAAATATAAGCAAACCCCCTTGAATACAATAAGCAACACTTGGCTAAAACCAAATAAAAAAGGGACTTTTCATTGAATTTTATTCTCTACCTTTATGTTATTTAGATAAGAAGTTATTTTACGAAAAAAATGCTTAATCTTTCTTATATGACAGTCCAATGTTTACTAGACATTCTAGTGTGGGAAGTACTGGGTAATTAATGTCTGAAATGGTTCGTTTATCCTGCAAACTGTATTATGGATCTTTCAGCAGTTACTATATCCTCTATTTTGAAATGTACCATTTGTTTGATCAACTGTTGAATTAGGTGTTGATTAGTAACTTGTTCGATAGTTAGATGGTTTAACTGTCAAAGAGATAATTGCTTGTTAGTGAACTGTTATCTCATGAACGACTTCGGTTTCTAAATAGGAATTTCTTAAGGAGAGTTTTGAACTGTCAGTGGTCTTTATTTAGCTCTTTTAGACTCTCCCTGTGTTGTGTCATCTTAACTGACTGCCACTTACCTTCTCCTCTCTACCTTTACCACGTTCCATGCTCCTATCTCCCCATCATCTTTTCTCATCTTACCTCCCTCTTCTTCCGTCTGCCTAGTCTCCTCGTTCACCCAATTCGTCCTCTCTTCGACCCTATTCTCCGTGTTCATTTTTTCCCTTATCGTCAGTCCTTCTGCTTTCTCACTGTCTACCGTTCTACCCTTTCCCCTTCATCTCTATCTTTAATGCTCACAGCGGATGCTTTGCTCTCTTCCTTTCATTCCTTATCTTCTCTCGTCTTTTTTCTCCCTTTCCTTCTCTAAAACCCTGCTTCCTTTCAACCTTCATATCCTCCATCTTCATAACTGCTTTCCCCTACCCCCATTCCTCTACCTACTACTATTCCTACCACTATCCCATACCTTTCCACTGAGCTACCTTTACATCCCTTTCACTTAGTACACCCTACGCCTCCCTCACCCTACCTTACCCGCTCACTGCCTATTTATTTTCTTTACTCCTACCACATGAGATCCCACCCTCGCCTTACCCTACCTTTAAGGGCATTCCCTGCCATACTTCCTGGCTTCTTACACTTGAGTCCATATAACCAACCTTCCTTCTCATACCTACCCCTTGATTTCCTGCCTCAGTCTTACTTTCTCTTACTGATCCTCTTCAGCATCTCCCTGCAAACCCTCCTTCCTCCTTTTTTTTT